CCCCTCCCCTCCCCTCCCCTCCCCTCCTTCCCCTTTCTCTTTCCTTTCCTTTCCTTTCTATCTCAACAAGGTTTTTCTATGTAGCCCTGGCTATGCAGAATTCCCTTTGTAGACTAGGCTGGCTTCAAACTCACAGAACTAAAACATTGAAGTATTATACTATAACACATGAGGGATGAGGTAATGATAGCTTTTAGAAATTAAGTTATTAATCTATATACACATAATTTTTCCTTTTCTTTTTTAGTGATAATATACAGAAGCCTGTTAGAAGACGGCGTTCCTCAGTAAGAAATACTTTTATTTAAATTAATAGCTGTTACTTTTTACTGAACACAACTATACTTTGATTTTGGCTTTACCTTGGCATCTCAACTAGCTTCTTATTGCTTTCTAGATAAAGACTCAAATAGTTAGTCTGGTTATACAACTATTCAGTAAATATGCCAAAATTCACATTTTTTGTACTGTTTATATAATTTAATTAACTTTTATTAGCATATTTCTACATCATTATATTTTCAAATGTGTTTATTTAATAAACTTTTCCTATATAAATTATACTTCATTATTATAAATGTTTAAAATATATTTTTTTCTCTCTAAAAATATATTTAGCCTGGCATTCAAACTATTGTAAGCCACAAATTTATCCAAGTTGATTTACATATTAAATTTATATTATTATAAAACTGAAAAAGTGCAACAATATAGGGTACCTATATGCAAAACTTACCCATAAGAAATTTTAGCATAATCCTGCTAGGATTTACTCTTTTTTTTTTGTTTTAATTATTTCTTGATTGCTATGATATACCTAGCTCTCTTTATTTTCATGTTTAAGTTCTGTGTGAAGAGTTTTATGTTTCCTCGAGATAGGAGAATAAGACTTAGAACTGATTTGTGTTAGCATGATTATCCTATTAGGGCATATCCTCATTCCTAAGCTCAAAGCTCAACATTATGAACAATTTCAGACTGTTAGATGGTCTCAGTACCTCTGTGCAAAAGAATTTGGGAGAGTGGGCCAGGAGAAGACATATTAAATCTGCCACATAACACTGAACAATATAACTTTGAGGAATTTCAGGGATGTTAGTGGAAAATTTAGCTTTCTATTCATATAACTTTGTTAGATTTTCTTGACTAATTCTAATTATTGTGTCTAGATTTTGAAACCCCCAAGGAGTCCTCTTCAGGACCTCAAATGTGGAAATGAAACAGTTCAGGTAAGTCTCTAGTGCAGATGCTTTGCAATTTTAGTGATTTTGTTTTGTTGAGGAACTTGGTTTGTTGAGATTAAGTTTTACTTACATAGCTCAGAGTGACGCTGAACTTGTGGCAATTCTTCTTCTTGAGCTTTCCAAGTGTTAGGATTATAATCTATCATCCTGTCTGGCTTCGATGATTATCATGAATTTTATTAGCTATGTAAAGAGATGATACCATAAATGATTCCCATTTAAATGTGTACAAGTATCTCCTCGCTTCCGTGTTATTGTTCAAACACTTTTGTGATGTTTTCAGCTGCACATGAATCTGCTGATATTTTAATTATTATCTACCATCCCACAGCCCCTCAGTCAGTGACCCCCTGGCCACTCAGGATGCGATATATAGGTTTTATTAAGACTTTTATCATTCTACTTATCAATTAGATTCAGAAGTCAAAGGATGAGGTGAAAGTCTGCTAGCTCAAAGAGACTGAGTAGCTACTAGCCAACTTGCTCTTTGACTAGAGATACCACAAGAGACATGCATCTTCCCTTGTCCCAGAGCAAGAGAGTTCAAACTCTAGTCCCCACCCCTTTCTTCCTGTGTGTCTTCTCTATCAAACTGCTGACTTATCAATGGCCAATTCCAAACTGGCCCTACCCCTAATTCAAGGTGTAGCTATATTGGTCAGTCTTGGGAATGTCAGAGTGTGATCAAAATATTCCACAGCACTTTTGGGCTAGAGCCATAACTCAGTGGTGGAATGTTTACATACTGTGTATAAGACCCTGTGACACCATGTTTAAAAAAAAATTCTAATTCTGGGGTTTGTTTGTTTGTTTGTTTTTGTTTTTTCAAGACAGGGTTTCTCTTGGTGCCTGTCCTGGAACTAGCTCTTGTAGACCAGACTGGCCTCGAACTCACAGAGATCCACCTGCCTCTGCCTCCCGGAATTAAAGGTGTGCACCATCACCTGGCCAAAATCCAAATTCTTGAATAATCTGGTATTTATATTTTTAAAACTCTATTTGTTGCTAATAATTTAACCTCTGCTGGGATTAAAGTAGGGAATGGTATTTTGATTCCTTACCATGACACAAACTAATATATGCCTTTGCATGTTGAGACATCTCTCTAGCCTATCTATCTAGCTTTTTACATGGAGTTAGGGATTGGAAATCCAGTCTTCTCACTTATCTGGCATATCAAGGTTTATTGGGGAACAGCCTTCTAAACCTCTCAGGATCCAGAAGGAATGCCGCAGCAAGCACTGGAACTGGCTAATGGGATCTGAGGGTAAAAGAAATGAGTCAGCTCACACAAGTCTTCTCATCATGTCCCATTTATTCTTCTGCCCTGCTGCAAAAGTTTCTAGCTTATATAGACACTAGTAGCAATTCTCATGGAACAGGGCTGGAAATTCTTCAGGGTCAGGTCATAAAAGGCAGATAAGGATTTTCACAAAATCTGTAACTGTTAGCTTTCTTCATGACTCAAAGTGGGGGCGGTTTGTGAAAGCCTCCTTGAACTCATAGGCGGGAAGGAGGTTAATTGAGAGAGAGAGATTAAGCCATTTAGGGGGGTTTAAAGGAGACTTCGTGCTCTTGGTATATTCTTAAATGGCTAAGTGGAGAGCAAAAAGTTTATAATCAGTAGAAACCATGAGAAGGCAAGAATTGTCTTGTACTTAGTACATCACTTTTTTTCCAGTGGGCAGAGGCCATGTCAAGTAGCTAGACAACTTAAGTAAACAAGCAGGGGAATCCTATGGCATTTGGTCTGAGTTAGCATATTCACCACAAGTTAGCTGATTCAAGGACATCTCTCAGCTCTAAAGATTACATCTACAGTGACTAAATCAAAGGGGGAAAACTATGGCTCTGTAGTGACACTCTCAGCCTCTCACTGACAACCAAGTGTGAAGGAATTTCTTTCTCCAGGGCTGCTTAAGTGACCCATAGCTTTTTTTCTTGTATCTCCAGAGGTCAATAGTAGAACAGGGGTAAACTGAGGTTGCCCTCTCTCAAGTCTGCTGTGGAAGAATTCAAGACACCCAGTATATATTCTATATGTCAAAATTATATGGCAAAATGAAAAATCCTCTTCCAGACTACCCACAGATATGTGTGTTCAGTAGATGACATACACACACAAGCAGTGGGAAACACCTAAAGCTATTCTTAGGGAAGAGATGAAATGACTTTATGAGACATCCTAGAGGGGAGCAACTGATTTCTACTGCCAGTAACTCCATGGCCTTGGGCTCCCTGTCACTCATCTGGTAGGTGGGCCTGTTGAATACTAGTAATCCTGCTGCACCTCTCATGGCCCTTGACAATTGGCAACACTTTGTCTCCTGTCTGTCATGTGTGCTATGTCTGGTTTGACCTTTTAACCATATAGACTGCTTAGTATAGGTGGCATACTATTTTTGGTTGTTTTTTAAGATTTGTTCTTAATTTATGTTTATATGTGTAGGTGGAGACTGCTTGTTTGTTCCTGGCCGCTCAGACCCAAATAATCACATAGAAACCATATTAATTACAACACTGCTTGGCCAATAGCTTAAGCATATTTCTGGCTAACTCTTACATCTTAAATTAACCTATTTCTATTAATCACCACAAGGCTGTGGCCTACTGGTAAGGTTCTGGCTAGTGGCTGGCCTCATCTGGCAACTACATGGCATCTCCTTGACTCTTCCTACTTCCTTTATCTCTGTTCGAATTTCCCACCTGGTTTTACTCTACTAAGCCATTGGCCAAAACAACTTCTTTAATAACCAATGGTAATAAAACATATTCATAGCATATAGAGGGGAATCCCACATCATATATGTGAATGCCTGTAGATCAGTATGTATTCTTTGTGAGTGTCGGGAGCCCACAGACGCTAGAAGAGACAGTTAGATCCCCTAGAGCCAGAATTTCAGGTAGTTTTAAACTGCCCAGTTTGGGTGCTGGGAACAAACTTGAATTCTGTGCAAGAGCTGTACATATTCTTAACTACTGAGCCATCTCTCCAGCTCCCTTAAAGAAATATGTAGTCAGCTGGGTGGCACAAGCCTTTAATCCCAGCACTCCAGAAGCAGAGGCAGGTGGATATCTGACTTTGAGACCAACCTGGTCTACAGAGCAAGTTCCGTTCAGGACATCCAGGACTACACAAAGAAACATAAAGAAAAAGAAAAAAGGAGAAAGAGATAATACATAGTCATGGCAACATTATTCACAGTAGTCAAGAAGTAAGGACAGGCTCCAAAGCTACAGAGAAACCCTGTCTTAATAAACCAAAAAAAAAAAAAAAAAAAAAAAGACAAATTCTACTTGTTACCACTTATATGAAGTATAGTCAAATTGATATAGAAATAGAATGCTGGGGGCTGGAGAGATGGCTCAGAGGTTAAGAGCACTGACTGTTCTTCCAAAGGTCCTGAGTTCAATTCCTAGCAACCATATGGTGGCTCACAACCATCTGTAATGGGGTCTGGTGCCCTCTTCTGGCCTGCAGACATACATGGAAGGAATGCTGTATACATAATAAATAAATAGAAATAGAATGCTGGTTGCCAAGGATTTGGAGGGAGGATCTAAATGTGTATTTTTGTTTGTTTGTTTGTTTTAATTTTGTGTGTGTGTGTCTGTATGTCTTATGTTCCCATGAATGTAAGTGTCTGTGTCCGTGTCCGTGTGTGTGTGTGTGTGTGTGTGTGTCTTAGTCTTATGCACCCATGAATGTAAGTGACCATATGTTGTAAGAGCCTGATTGTTTGTTCCTGGCTGCTCAGCCCTGAAATAATCACACAGAGATCATATTATTTGCAATACTGTTTGGCCAATAGCTTAAGTGTATTTCTGGCTAACTCATATCTTAAATTAACCCATCTCCATTAATCTATGTATTGTTTCATGGCTGTGGCTAACCTGGTAAAAAGTTCCAGCGTCTGTCTCTAGCGGGGCTACATGTCTTCTCACTGACTCTGCTTTCTTTCTCCCAGCATTCAATTTAGTTTTCCCTGCCTAGCTGTATTCTGCTAAGTCACTGGCCAAAACAGCGTCTTTATTAACCAGTGGTATTCACAGCATACAGAAGGAAATCCCACATCATCTATGGAGGTCACAGAGGCATCAGATCCCCACCAAACCTCAGCTAGAGTTGCTAACCTCCTAAAATAGAAAATGAACTTCAGTTCTCTGCAAGAGTTATATGTTCTCTTTAACCACTAAGCCATCTCTCCAGTCCCAATAAGTACAGCTTTAATTTTGTAAGATGAAGACGTAGAGAGTAGTTACACAGTAAGATGTTTTTAACACTATTGAACTGTACACTTAAAAAGTATTAAGATGAAAGTGGAGTGGTGAGATGACTCAGTGGTTAAGAGCACTTTCTGCTCTTGCAGAGGACCCAAATTCAGTTCCTGTGGGGTGACTGATACTACCTATAACTTTAGTTCCAGAGGATCTGACACCTTCTGTCTTCCATGGCACCTGTATGTATATGGCACATGGGCATACATATATATACTCATCAATTTTTTGAAAAATGGTAAAGGGCCAGGTGGTGATGCATGCCTTTATCCTAGCACTCAAGAAGCAGAGACAGGTGAATCTCTGAGTTCAAGGTCAGCCTGGTCTACAGAACGAGTTCCAGGACACCCAAGACTACACAGAGAAACTCTGTCTCGATAAAACAAAACAAAAATTTAATTTGGTTTTTATCACTAGCAAAAACAATGTAAGTACTTGTCAAGGCAGACTGTTTAGATGATAAATTATGTTGTACCTTGGAATGATGGCACAGGTCTGTAATTTTAGCACTGGGAAAATAAAATTTTGGTTTCATTCTTGGATGGGCTACATAGCAAATTTGAATGTAATCTGCTCTACGGGAGACCTTGTCTAAAATACTATAACAATCACAAAAGATAGTAACTTACGTGTATTTTTCTACAATGAAAATAGATTTTTAGATGGGCATGGTTCTTCATGCCTTTAATTCCAGAACTCTGGCAGCAGAGGCAGACTGATTTCTGAGTTCTAGGGCAGCCTGGTCTATATAGAGAGTTCCAGACTGGTCATAGCTACATAGTAAGACCTTGTGTGAAAAACAAAGAAAAAGCTGGTTGTTTTCAGTTTTAAAAGAACATTGTAATAAGGGTTGGCCCCATAGCTTCTGTTTTGTGCCTAGTCTTTCTTGTTATATGTTGTTTGTGTCAGTATGCTAATTTTATACTTGATTTAAGCCAAAAGGCCAAAAAGCAGTAATAATATGCTCATTTTAACTCTTACTGAAAATCATTCTCAAGCTAAGAGTAGTGGTAAACACCTATAATCCTAGCAGTTAGAATGTTGAAGCTCAAGGGTCATAAATTTGAGATCAACATGGATTTTATATATTGAGACCTTGTTTCAAAGCAAGCAAAGCAACAACAAAAGAAGATATTTAGCTAGGCGGTGGTGGCAGATGCCTTTAGTTCCAGCACTCGGAAGCAAAGATAGACAAATCTCAGTGAGTTCAAGACTAGCCTGGTCTACAGAGTGAGTTCCAGGACAGGCTCCAAAGCTACAGAGAAACCTTGTCTTAAAAACCAAACCAAACAAACAAACAAAAATTACATGAGTCCACAGGTTTAATTAATCCTTAGAACTGCCTTCCCTCAAAAAAGTATATGGAAAATTATATTTACGTTCGTTTAGTGCTTCTATGTTGGGCTGTTTGGAGGAATTTTATATCCATTAATTCAAAATAAGACTTGAGTCCTGCTTCTAATATTATGGAGACTTAATTCACAGTGATTTTTTATTAAGAATTATATCCTATATTCTTTTCTCCTAGGAATTTAATGCTCCAAGACCTAGAAAAAGCTCTCGTCGAGTCAGCTTTGCAGATACCATAAAGTAAGTTGAAAGGAAAATTAAGTAAAATGTTATAGGTAATACTTTTTTTGTGTCAGATCAAATATGTTGGTGGTAATTTATTTGGGTAATCTTTTACTTAAAAAACTTTAAAGGATAGTTATTTTGTGTGCATACATGCATGTGTGTGTGTGTGCGCGTGCGTGCGTGCGTGCAAGCACTTTGGGGAGCCAGAAGTGAAGGTATCTTTCTCTTCACCTTACCTTTTGACACAGTTTCTCTCTCTAAACATAGAACTCTTTCATAGAGTCCCAGAGGTCCTTATCTCTCTAGCTCAAGAGCAATAGGAAATTTATTATGTGTATGCTGGGAATCCAAATGTAGGTCCTTATGTTTACACAGCAAACACTTTACTGGCTGAGTTATCTTCTCAACACAAGAGAATTATTTTATTTTGAAAAATACCTTTTACTTAAAAACTTTTATTAGTGTGTACATATATCATATGTATGTGTGAGTGCAAATGAGTGTGCATGCCTTGGCTTGTGTACAGATGTCAGGGGATAACTTTTGGCAGTCAGTTCTCTTCTTCTGCTGTGGGTTCTGGGGATTGAACTCAGGTTGTTAGCTTGCATCTCAAGTACTTTTATCTACTGAGACATCTTGCTGGCACATTTTTTTTTATTCTTTAAAAAAATGTGAATGGAAGGATGGCCCAGTGGTGAAGAGCACAATGAGTCTGTTGTAGAGAACCAGGGTTCAATTCCCAGCACCCACATGGCAGCTAACAACTGTCTGCAACTCCAAGATCTGACACCGTCACACAGACATACATGCAGGGAAAACATCGATGCAAATAAAAAATGTATTTATGTGACTGGAGAAGTGGTTCAACAGTTAAGAGCACTGACTGCTCTTCCAGAGGACCTATGTTTGATTCCTAATACCCACGTGGCCGCTCACAACTTTCTGTATCTCCAGTTCCAGGGGACTGAGCTCTCTTTCCTTGTCTTTGTGTCATGGCATTTATATGTTGCACAAATACCCAAACATAAAATAAAAATTTTAAAATGTATTTCTTGTTATTAGTGGGGGTATTGTGTACATATGATGAGAGTGAATGTGTGGATACAATTTTTTTTTTCTCTGTGTAGCCCTGGCTGTCTTGGAAGTCACTCTGTAGACCAGGCTCACTCTGTACACCGCCCAGCCAAAATTGCTATATTAAGGGTTTTATTCAGCATTATTTTTATAAGAGAAGCAGAATAATTCCTTAAAATCAAGAACAAAACAATGATAACTACTATGACTGTTGCTATTTAACATTGTGTAAGAGGTTCCAGCTAACGAAAGTAGAGGAAGAAATTTGGCTTTTAAAAATTAGGAATATTGGGACTGGAGAGATGGCTCTGGTTAACAACACTCATTGCTTTTATAGAGGACCTGGGTTTAATTCCCAGCACCCACATGGCAGCTCACAACTGTCTGCAACTTCAGTTCCAGAGGATCTATACCCTCACACAGACATACATGCAGGCAAAACACCAATGCACACACACACACACGCACACACAAAGGCCGTGGTAGCATATGCCTTTAATCCCAACACTCGGGAGGCAGAGGCAGGTAGATCTCTGTGAGTTTAAAGCCAGCCTGGTCTACAGAGTTCTAGGACAGCTAGGACTGTTACACAGAGAAACCTTGTCTCTAAAAACAGAAAACAAACAACAAAAAATTAGAAATAGCAAGGTTGGAGTGATAGCTTCAGATTTAAGAGCAATAGCTGATTGTCTTTCCAGAGGATTCAGATCCCATGTCTGGCACTCATATGGCTGCTCCCAATTGTCCAGTTCTCACAACTGCTCTAGGTGCTCTGATTTTCTTTTTGCCTCCCTGGGTATCAGGCACACATGTGGTAGATGAACATACCTGCAGGAACAACATTCATATAACATAAAAAAAGTAAGTTTAAAAATTAGAAATATAGGATAAACTTATTATTACCTTTGAAGATTAATTACACTATTTCCCAGTTGTGTCTTAATTGTGTGATTTTATTTTTTCTTTTGTTTCATGAGTTTTATTTTTGCTATCTTAACTCTTTCTTTGTTTCTATTATATTTCTCCTTTGTATTCCTTCATAGAAATAATTGCTTTATGTTTTGAAATCTATAAATAATACAATTTTCAACACCTTTGGTACATAGTTTTGGGTAATATATTCTTTTTTAAATTATTTATTTATTATGTATACAACATTCTGCTTCCATGTATGCCCACATGCCAGAGGAGGGCGCCAGATCTCATTACAGATGGTTGTGAGCCACCATGTGGTTGCTGGGAATTAAACTCAAGACCTCTGGAAGAGCAGCCAGTGCTCTTAACCACTGAGCCATCTCTCCAGCCCCTATTCTTTTTTTTTTTTTTTTCCTTTTTGTTTTTTCAGGGCATGGTTTCTCTGTGTAGCTTTGGATCCTGTCTCTGGAACTCTTTCTCTAGACCAGGCTGACCTCAACTCACAAACATACCCCTACCGCTGCCACCAGAGTGCTGGGATTAAAGGCTGCCCATTGGGAATATTTATCTTTTTGTTAATGAATTATGATTCTTTCAATCTTAAGGTTCCTTTTGTAGACTGTGGTTCTGCTTTGTTGATGTTGTTTTTTGAGGTAGGTAGACTAAACTGACCTTGAACTCCTATACTCCATCTTTGTATAGCCCTGGCTGTCCTGGAACTCACTCTTTAGACCATGCTAACCTTGAACTCAAAGAGATCTGCCTGCCTCTGACTCCGAATTCTGAGATCAAAGGCATGCTCCACCACTACCTTGTAACGAGAATCCACAGTAGTCTGGGAGAGGTTCAGAAGAATTGATTTAGATGTATATAATAGGGGCAAATACTCACTGATACAGGACAGGTTGGACACCACAGCAGTTGTTCTGCCCAAGGGGAAAGAGCACAAACAGCAAGGCACCCGCTTCACTCCTACCAAATACAAATCAGCACAAGAGCAGAGAGAGTGACTGCCTGCCTCTTTCCTTTAAAGGAGTCTGTTGGCAGAGCAGAAGCACTACTCAAGGTCCTGGGCAGTGCGAATACCCACTACACTACCTGGCCCTAAGTCCACCTTTCTAGTGTGAGATATGATACATAACTCTAGATTCTGTTTGTTTTTTTCTTCAACATTGAATGGATTGAAATGTTCTGAATCTAGTTATTTCTGAGATATTCCTGTGGAGTAGAGGTTAAGATAGCTCTTTTCTGTAAATGCTGAATTGTCAAATTTTATTTTCTCTTTACCTTAGACTACCTCACTTACCTTTTGTGTGAGGTAACCAGATTAAATATTTTAGGAAGAGGCCGTATTGCTTTATGTTTAGAACTCTTAGCAAAGCTCTGGAGTTTGATCTGCTTTCTTTTCTCATTCCTCATTTATATTTCTCCAAACTTTTTAATGTCCATATTTTTTGTTGTTATTCATGGGTTTTTTATTGGTTTTTGTTGTTGTTGTTGTTGTTTTATGTTTCAAGATGGAGTCTTACTAAGTTGCCCTGGCTTATTTTGAACTTACTTTATATCCTTAGCAGACCTTGAATACCTGCTATCTATATGACTTTCCCATGGATGCTATGGCATATGCTTACTAACATTTGTGCATGTACACATGTTACATACACATAAAATAAGCAAATGTGAAAAACATAATTAAAAGAAGTGAGTTTAGATATATCATTTGATTTATTATCAATTGCCACTACTAAGTCAGGTATGGTGGCATATATCTGTTATTCCAACCCTTAGGGCCAGTCTTGGCTGCATAGTGAGTTCAAGGACTACATAGTGAGGCCCTGCCTCAAATAAATAAATAAATAAATAAATAAATAAATAAATAAATAAATAAATAAATAAATAAATAAGGCACTACTAAATATTTATAGTGTGACAGATATATGCATCATTTTATTGGATATGTAACAGATATAAATAACCTAGTTATCAAATGGAGATTTTCAAATGATTAAGATTGTTAATATTTTTTTTAAAAGATTATTTATATTGCCTTTAATCCCAGCACCCAGGAAGAAGAGACAGGCAGATCTCTGTGACTTCAAGGCCAACATGGTCTACAAAGTGAGTTCCAAGACAGCCAGAGCTGTTACACAGAGAAAGCCTGTCTTGAAAAAACCTCTTTTCCATCTCTCCCAAAGAGGTCTCTCCTCTCCCCCCCCTCTCTGTCTCCTCTCTCCTCTCCCCCCCCC